GAGAGAGTGGATACTGCAGTGGTCATCTGATCAGCCACTGTGTAGGATGGCAACTCATACATCACAAAAAGAGGAAATACCTAACTCCAGAAGAGGACAAAAGATATAAATTTGCATAACATCTAGTAAGAATGTAGAGTGTGGAAGTGCAGAGGCAAAATGTACCTCTTCTGTTCCTCCTCCTCAAATCTCCTAATTTGGCAGCTTTGGGTCAGTGTGGTAGGATTGAACCCTAAATATGTAGAGTGATCAATTAGTTTGCAAATGTTTGTACATATTTACAGCACTGTACCTTGCATTTAGTGAGTTGGAACATTTGAATTCCATACAGGCAGTAGAGAAATGTAAGATTCCTAGGCAGCATCTCCTTGTGTGTAACAGTAAGAGGTAACAATATTATTATTGGTCCCAGAATATAAAATTGACTGTGGATCGACTGTAGCTTGCAATAACTAAACAAGATAATAATGGTTATTTCATTATCATGTTTAACATTCTTTCCACTGTGCTTTCAATGTAATTAGTAATCTAAGAAAAACATTTCCTCCAATTCTTAAAACGTGGGAGAAAATATTTAGAAAAGGCATATACTGTAAAAAAGAGACCACTGAGATATACTGTTGAAAGTGTTAAACAGTTACTTAAACTAGAAGCCACAAAATAAATTATGCAAAGTTCATTTCTTCTTCTTTAAATGCCAAATTAAGGTCATAGAATTCCATAGACATATTACTAAATTAGAAGAAAAAAAGGAATTGCTAACTTTATTTATTTTTCTGTGGACATCATAGAGAGTTGAATCTTTTCTAAAATGTACAGTCACAAACTGGTAATAAAATTCCTATGAGGAACTGTAACACGGTATCATAACTTAACTATCCAAGTGTGACTCATTGCAAGAAACATTCATATAATAATCCATTCTGGTATTTTCAGGGCTATGTGGATAAAATGTCATTTTGTTGTACAGAAAAGAATCTGGCAAAATGGAAAGTATGAGCATACTGTTGATGTCTCTTCTATACTCTGTGTTGAATTCATTATGTAATTAGTATGTTATACAGTGTTTATATTCAGTTCTTAATATATGATTACAGTGGAATTCTATACATCTCTACTAAGCCCTCTTGCATTCAGTCAAACTTACTTCCAGGAAACCATATAGGACAACAGTCTTAATATTCCAAAATTACTTCAATTAGACATAATAGTTATTGTAAATGTGTAGAGTCATACTTCCAAATATAGTGCCTGAGCGGTCTAGGTTGCAGGGTACAAAGCAAATATGTTCCTTGAATTTATGTGCTCCTTGCATTTCTTACTAATAAAAACCGGATAGTTTTTTGTTTGAAAAGTGTTATACATCCATTAAAATTTTGAACTGGGTGCTTCCAGACATCCAATCCCTTGCCTTCATTACATAGTTCTTTTTGAGGGGGTGGGGGGCTTGCCCTGAATTTGTTACCTCACCACTTCTTTCCTCACAAATATACTTTACAAGGAAAAGTGAAATAGCTGCACAATGTATTTTGATAGGTAGCGCTAGGAACTTGTTGGGATAAGATTAAGAGCAGAATTATATAAGCTGCTTTGAGTTTTTTGTAAGAAAAGGTGGGATATAACAGACAAACTGTTTATCTGAAGCATCCATGGATGAACAAAATGTAGTAATGCTAAGAATTTACAAGAAGGTTATGGTCTTAAATCTTGCCAATATATTTTTCATTGATCTCAGTGAGATGTTACCTTCTAAATTCATGAAGAATTGGATGAAACGTATTTGGTGTATACATTTATCTTCCTTTTTGTCTATCAAGTACTAATTATTTAGGCCAAGGCTTCTCTTGCTAGCTGTGTATGTAATCTGTATTTATTAAAATGTACAGGTTTTCCTAGCACTGGAAGACTAGTTGACTCTAATATATAGCAAGTTAGGGCTTGCCAGGAGTCCAGAAGGAATATTTTTTTCCATGGAAAAGCTGTTCTATGCTGAAAGACAAGATGCTTCCCTCTGGATGGCAAAATGTTGTAGCAGAAGGTTCCTAGGGTCAACCACTAGCACCTCTAGTTAGGCAGATTAGGATGTCTTAAAAGATGTGGAATGCCTCTGTTCACCTGCTGAGAAGTGAGAAAGGACTCAGCATGAAGAAGATTCTGGGTTCAACCCCAGGCATCCCCGAGTAAGGCTGACTGGAAGCAGCTCTGAGTTTTAGGCAGTGTTAACAATATTGGTAGATGAAATGATAGTTTGAATTGGTATCCCTGGCTGCTTCCTGTGTGCCTATGTTAGGAATGTTTTCTCCAGTGAGGTACACCTACCTCTTCTCTTTATGTTTTCAGTGCTGGGCAACAAACACTATTTTCCCAGGCCTTTTAGTTCTGTATTTTAGATGTTGAAATCCTACTTTGTCTCTGGTTCAGGAATGTCTGCATTCACTTTAGTGTATGGAAAGGTTCGAGGAAAATGTACCTGCTTCTATTTGATATTAAATGAGGGATTAAATTTGATGAGGTTGGAGAGAAGGACATACAATTCAAATGTATGAGCCACTTGAGTACATTTCTGAGTTTTCTTTACTACACTGAAGCTATTTTCAGCTCCTGTGTTATGCTGTTCTATCACTTTTAGCAAATTATCTTTCAACTGTTTCTTCTATTATGCCATATTAAAACTTATTATCAGGCTAGCAGAATAGAGCTGTTAATAAATGGCAGAATGTGTGAAATCACCAGAGTAGGACATCTCCATATGCAGTATAGTTATGTTGTAAATTAATGAAGCATGGAAAAATGGAAGATGTGATATTATTCAGCAATGGCATCTTTAGGACTGATTTACTTGACTATTCAGCTCATGTTGACCTTTACTGAGTCACTGACCTAGATTACATGACATATTGTCTCTTCCAGATTTACTTGGTTTCTGCAGGGTGGATTATTTTTCATGAACAAGTCACCCTGGAAATAGATGGCATGTTCTAGGGATTGTTCAACCCAGAATGGTTTGTTGTGTTCTCTAAACCTAGCAGGACAACTTTAATATAGGTTGTTGAGAATGGCTATAGAGCTGCTCAGCAAGAGTGGCAAAAATTCATCGCCACTCACTTCTGCAAGTGGCAACTCTTCCACCTATCCTGAGATAACACTTTAAAATTATAGCCACTCATTCTTTGGTGTATGTGTGTGGGAGGGCGGGGGTTATGTTATTTTTTGGAGCCTTAAAAAAGCACAGATGCGTTTATAATTTTCAGTCCCTGAAAATTGTATATTTTAATTTGTGGTTTGTTTTGTTTTTTCGGTTTGGTCCTGCATTGGTATGCACTTATGGATATCCAGTGCAAAGCAAGACTCTCTAGGCTAATTTGCACAGAATTTGCAAGGGACAAAGTCCCCAGCTGTCAGTGGGGACAGTAAGCCCTAACGTATGGAAAAAAAGGGTGATCCCAAAGAGGATGAACCCTGAGGGGCTATTGTAGCCCCCTTCCTTTCAGTTTTAACTGTTGAATTGACACTGCTAAGTGTCCTCCAGCTTTTCAACAATTCACCCTGACTGCAACTACTCTAGAAAGGGGAGATGTAAGCCCCCACACTCTTGGAGTACTTACTGCCAGTGTACAAATAATTTTTTTTATAAAGTTGAACTTTATTTACTTACCACACCTTATATCAGCACAAGTTTCTACTTAGTTTACTTCCCAGCCATCAAATTTGCCTATCTGCTAGATTTTAAGAATGCTCAGGGAACTGCAGTAACTGCAGGAGTACGTACTCATAACAGGAGCTGTGTAAAGAGGTGTGTGTGTGTGTGTGTGAGCGTGAGCGTAAGTGTGAGTGAATCCAACCTTTCTGCAATAGCTGGAAGCTCAGGGAGGCCACTAAGAACTGTCATTTGACAATTAAAATTGACAGGATTACATTGATAAGTGGGTAACATTGCTGCTGTCTTCTGCCGTTGTACCTAATTTCCTCACTTTTTCCTCAGTTGACATCTAGGCAATTGGCTGCTGGCACCTGTACACAAATTAGCCTACGTGCACTCACCTTGCCCACTGAAAGAGACAATACAAGATTGCATGTGTAGAATTGCCATAAGTGTACATTTGCTTACCTGCAAAGTACTACTAATAATATATTCATATATTTTTAAAATGTGCAATTCTTGACTCCAAAAATTATGACCCCAGTTGTGCCATTTTGAACCTCTTTGGGAAAAAAAAGGCAGTGGACAAAAAGGATAGTGTTTGCAGAGAGGAGGGGAAGACAAGATGTGTTCTGCCATGAAGGATTCTAGATTACTAGCTGGAAGACTAAGGGCAGTGGGGGAACAGAACAACCTACAGTGAGCTCTGTTGTCTCTTCGGTGTACCATGGATTGTTCAGCAAACAACCAACTCTTTGTGGCTTATTTGCAGAGTGGATTAGCATGAAATGTGAACCTACCCATTGTCTTCAGATAGCCTTATCCATTCTGGTCTTGTGAATGGTTCAGTGCATGCTCATATTACCAATAATATTTCCATATTATTATGGTAATATTACTTACCATAATACCAGTTCATATTACTATGTTCTTTAATAGTAATAAGTAAGTAATTATTGGCAGTCTTGGAAACACCTAATTCAATTCCGTGAGCTGGACACAGGAATGGTGAAAAAAATAACTCCACTTGAGTCTTTCAGGCATTTCTTAGAGTAAGTTGGAAAATCCTTGATTTGTTCACAGTTTTTATCATTGCTTATCAAATACTTTACCATACAGAGGATCTTTCCACTGCTTTTGAAGGTGAATATAAATCCATGTTCAAAGATATGAAGTCTCTGCTTCTTTTGCTTCTAGGAATCAAAGAACAATAGTTTGCACTTAAAGTGAAAAGATATATCTGTATGGTTTGAGTAAAAATAATTAACAGATTGCAAGCTAATTAGTAGTGGCTTATCTAAAAGCTTTTGTGTTTGTCTTCATTATTAAGTGAAGTAACAATATTATTTTTTTCTATCAGTGTATTCTTGATATGACATTTGGAGCAGGAGGCCATACCAAGGCGCTTATGCAGAAAGCAGCTGGCATTAAAATATATGCACTGGACAGAGACCCTACAGCTTACGAACTAGCTCAGCAACTTTCAAAATCTCATCCGTGAGTAGCACTCTTCTTTCTCGTGCCATTATTTTAGTATAACATGTCAGAGCAAGCACTTCTGTGTATGTGTATTACAGACTTCTATTTACTTACCAACATTTATGGATTCCTTACATTAGAAAGATACTTCTAAGTGATATACAAATACAATAACCCAACAGGCAGTTAGAAAATCAGGTGATCTCCTAAATATCCTAGCCCTCAGTTATTTAGGGGTCCAAAAGTACCCAACCCTCAAACCTGCCTCAGTAACACATAGACAGTTGGTGCTGTTCCCTTAGAATAGATGTGCTATGCTGGCAGTAAGCCACTTTTGTTGCAAACCTAACTGTGACATTTTGCACCAGTTGCAGCTTCTGGACCAGCCTTAAGAGCAGCCCCACATAAAGTCCATTTAGAGTTTTGAGGTAGCTAATCCATGACCCTGGTAGCCAAGTGAGTGGACATAGCTCTTCTATTAACTAAACCTGTTATAAAATACCTCTTAAGTATCCAACACCTGTGTTTGCAGTGACAGTGCATGTTTGATGAGCACCCTTATACTATGCACCTGCTTCTTTAGAAGATGTACAGCCCTGTGCAGAAGAGGCAAAACAGACCTAATTCCTGATATGGAAATCATTCACTTGCAGAGCCTTCATCTTGCCAGGATTAATAGTGAGTTTACTGGTCCTCCTATGTCCCACCACTGCATCCAGGCACAGCCTCTCCTGATTCAAATACTGCAGAGAAATGGAGCTGGATGCCCCTGGCATATTGTTAGGCACTCACTCCATTGTCCAATGACTTGATATATTTTACCCTAAATAATAAATAGATATTATTTATAGCACAGAGAACAGAATAGTGCGCTGCAACACCGTGCATCTTAAACACCATAGCTCCAATGATCATTCCTTCAAAACTGCTCTCTAAAACTGACGCTGCTTATAGGATCAGAAGTACTAAAGAACAGTGCTTTTGATCCTGATCTCACAAAATCAGTCTAGGAAGATATTGATTGTATCAAAAGCCACTCAAAAAGCCAGTAAGAAGAGGAATGAGGCAACATGCCCCTTTCCTGTTAAAAATCATCCATCAGAATCACCATTGACAATTCAGTCCAAAAACCAGACCTGAACCCAAGCTGACATCGGTCAAGATGAGGATGGTTGCAATTGCGTCACTACAACTCTCTCAATCTTTTCTTCAAAAAGGACTATTTATTTAAGTTGTTGTCAAGTACTTCAGGGCCCAGAGTAAACATCTCTAGGAGTGGTTGTACCACAACCTTTTTAAAAAGGTAGCAAGTATCACCCCTTTCTATAAAGAAGTGTTCAGCATACTTTGGACCCATATGCTCTACCCTCATCAGCTAGCTTTAATCTGCCATGAAAGGTTAAGGTTCAAACTTGTTTGTGTCCTCATGCTGCAAAAGCAAACTGATCCCATAATATGTGCTTAGGTGCAGCTTTGGATCCCTCAGTGAGAACTACAGTAAATGTGTGGTGTCCAAATTGCTGCAGACAACCATTTTGTCCTCAAAGTAATTTACATAAGATTTGCAGGCTTCTAAAGAGAGGCTAAGATTCTCAGCATGAATCTCAAAGTCTCCCAAGTTCACTGACTAGTTTCTCCAATACCATGCTTAAGACCAGCTTAGCAAGCTTGATCAGGGGGGCTGATTGACAGAAGAATGGGTGGAACATCAGCTGTGTCCTGCATCTGTCCCAATGGACCAACAGCACATGTGGGCACGTCAGGCTTGCCCCTAGATGGATAAGTCTCCTGGTGCTGGCTAGAATCATCAATTAGAAAAGGATATGAATTTCCAGAAGGCGAATAGCTGGAAACTATTACAGGGTTATAGGGGCATCCCCCTCCTCTGATGGTCTGAATCAATCAGGAATGGTCTAGTTCAGACTTCCCTTATTCCATTTCATGCCTTACCTCTCAGTGTGCTATTTACATCTTTCTGATGATCAGATGACTGCATGCTTCAAGTTCAGGCCAAGTGGTCTAGGTTGACCATACTCAGTATCCACTCTTAGTGCTCAGATTCTATTAGAACAACCCTGGCTAGTTTAGGTCACCTGTTCAAATACCCCATTCTGTTGCTGGCTTTTTTCCTTTCTGCTTGGGATTGGCAGTGGTATATCATTTACAGCCAGATTGCATATTCATGTTATTTGTGCTTTTAACATGGCCTGAAATAGTAACAATATATATTTTCAATAGGTTAAGGGCTTGTTGCATTTTTAATACATTTAGCTCCTCTCTTCTAGCTGTGAAGCTTTTATTGAAGATGCAGTGTTATTTTAATAAGAAAAAGAAATGGGTCAGGCCCTATTAGGTATTCAGTGTGGATATGAATTCTTTGACATGCATTCTGGGGAAGCCTACAATTTAGGAATTGCTGCAAAGATCCAAAACAAAATAAAATCCTGTCAGTAGCAATATATTTGACAAATAAAACTTTTTACACCCACTGAAAGTGAAAGGTTAGAAAGGTACCTGAAATCTACCACCCATCTAGTACTACTGCAGGCTGGAAAGGATATGATACTTACACACTGGAGTCAAACTGTTTTAATGCATTCAGCTCTAAAAGAAATAATATCTTGGATATAGGCAGAAGTAATTCAGGTCTCTCTCTCTCTCTCTCTCTCTCTCTCTCTCTCTCTCTCTCTCTGTGTGTGTGTGTGTGTGTGTGTGTGTGTGTGTGTTTGTGTGTGTTTGTGTGTGTGTGTGTGTGTTCATGACCAAATCAGCACACACACAGATACACACAGCCTGTCTAAAATTTTGGGTATTTTTTGTTTCAAGGTGAAATTAAAATTATTGTAAAAAGATGGACTATGTCTTGTAATCTTGTGAGGTGTCATAAAACATAACGGAGATCCAGACATCCACATAAACGAACAGCTCAGTTAATCCTTCTGCTGTTTTCTGTGTGCCTTTAATGTGTGCATATTTAGTAGACTGGCTTTAATCTTCTTTGTATAGATTTCAGTAACTGGTCTCAGTTTGGGAGAGTTGTTTACAAGCAGGACAAATGTCTGTACAAGTCTGGCACTTTCCTCTCTAATTTGCTTCCTCGCAGTGCCTAGACCTGACCACCACACTGATCTTTCAAAGTGAATTGTGGAGTTGGCCCTTTGAGCTGCTTCAGAAATAACCAGTGGGAAAGCCTTGGGTAGGCACAGATATAACTGCGTATAGGAATAATTCATTCTGGTCTGACAAAATGTGACCATCACCATGTAGGGGACAGCAGGTGGGGTATGCATGGCCTGTGGGCTGCATGTAGTCTACCAAGACCATTTGAGTGGGTTGCTGCTGCTGCTGCTGAAAATTCCTGCTGTTGTGCTGCAGCAGTTCTGCAGTGAATTGTTTCCCAACAGAATCAATGTTTCCACAGAAAAACAGGATGTGTGTTTCCCTGTTCACCTTGTTTGCCAGACAAATAGCTGTTTCTATGTGGAATGGGACTTCCTACACCCACCAAGCATTTATTTATTTATCTTAATGTTTATAAATGGCCCAATCCCACAGGCTCTGGGAGGTTTAAAAGAAATTAAACCTTTATTTTTTTTCTCTGAATTCAGGGGAACCCAATTCTGCATCCCTTGTTTTCTTGCAGAATCAGTGTAGCAAATTTCAGGGATACTGCAGACTGTTTCCTAGTAGTATTAATAGAATTATATACCAAAAAACTGGGGTTGCCAACTTCAGAACCAGTCAAGTCATTGGCCAAGATATTCTAAAGCCAATAAATGTATTTAGACAAAATGGGTTAGACTTCCGAATTGATTGCTTGTGCCATGAAAGTTTCATGCATGGACAAAAAGTTCATTCATATGTATCAATTTATGATAATAGCAAGACCATGGATTTCTTGAAATCAATACATACTTCATATTCCATTGATCTGTGACAGGTCAGAACAGGAAATGATTCTTTTGTAAGAATCTTTTGTAAGAAGATGCACCCCCATTAAAATGTGCTGAGTTTCTTTTCACCCCAGGAAATAAGAGCTCACATCTGGAACTCTGTAAATAATTGTTTGGTTCAGTCCTCATCTTTGAAATTTATGACATTTGAATGCTAATGGTTAGGGTCGTTTACAAAGAAAATACCTCTCATTGGGCTGAAAGCAGCAGAATGAAATTCAATATGGACAAATAGACTGAAAGCAACACAATGAAATTCAATAGAGACAAATAGCAAGTTTTACACCTAGGGAAAGGGAACCAAACACACAGTAACAAGATGGAAGATAACTTGACTCAACAATAATGCAAGTGAGAAATACCTTGGAATTGTTATAGATCACAAACTGAATATGAGTCAACAATGTGATGTGGCTGCAAAAAACAACAACTAAAAAACAAATGCTGTATTGGGCTACATTAACTGAGATTAACAAATCATACAAGGTACTGGTTACCTTTTATTCAGTACTAGTTGGGGCCCATCTTGAGTATTATGTAGAGTTGTAGGTACCACACTTGAAGAAAAATGCAGACAAGCTGGAAAAAGTTTAGAGGAGAGCAACAAAGAGAATTAGGAAACTGGAAACAATGCCCTACTGGGAGAGATGGAAAGAACTGGCATATGTAGCTTGGAAAAGAGACAACTAAGGGATTTTTCAAATACTCATAAGGTTGAAAACGAGAGGAGGACCAGGCTCTCTTCTCAGGAAACCCAGAGTGCAGGACATGGAATAATGGGCTTAAGTTAGAGGAAGCCCGATTCCAGGTGGTTATCAGGAAAACTTCCTGATCATTAGAGAACTATGATGATGGAACCAATTACCTAGGGAAGTCATCGGCTTTCCAGCACTGGAGACATTTAAGAGTAAGTTGCACAACCATCTGTCAGGAATGCATTAACTTGGAGTCCTGCAATGAGCAGGAGGTTGGACTTGATGGCCTTACAGGCCCCTCCCAACCTTACTGTTCTATGATTCTGTGATCTCTGAATAACCACAATTTGTTCCACACCTTTGATATTAA